AGTTACTAAGGATGTTCTGGCCCAGATCTGTGACTAGAGATGGGCATATAAAGATAAATCATGAGTGGACTCTACTTGTGAGAAGCCTCAGTTCTAACCGGGAGGGAGTGATCATAACACACAAATACAATCAAGTATTACGGATGCTCTGATAGAACTGTATATGAGGCACAAAAAGGACTGCTATCTAAATCCTAGGATGTGTGTGTGGGTTTTATATGGATATTTAGCTGAAGAAGAGTGTAATGCTTTCTTTGTTTTCTTGTTATACAAGAGTAAACGAATCCAAACTTGGTTGATAGTCAGAATTGAATTGTTCCCATGTGTTTTTCTTCCACAATTACCCGTAACTAGTAATTTACTTACTTTGCAGGTAAATTCTTGTTATCTTCACCCTCTGATGGGGGCCTTTGTGTCATAGCGGGATGACCAAGCTCCGCGTTAGGGAGATGCCTTTCGTATCTGACTGACGCAAGTGTTAGGGTAACCACAGTGGGGAATAAGTTCAGGCAGTCCCAGCTAAGCATCCCTGCTTCTCACTGCTGCATCCTTTTTACCCCTGGGCTAAAAGGGAGAGCTTGAGAAATATGCATAGCTAGGTCCTCCGGAGTTTTTCCTCACTCCCTTTTCGAGTTAACAATATGCCTGACAGGCTGTTTTCTGAAGTAAATTGGCAGAAAGTAGTGTTTGGGAATCAGAGACGGAATACTTGATTTGTCCAACTCCTCGTTTAACTCTTTCTTGCTGCTACCTCTTGCACACAGCAAAAACCTTTTGAATATTAGCTGAGTGATTTGGATTCACATGGAGCAAATCAAGCAAGATACTTCTCAGCATCTCTCAAGAGAGTGAGAATCCATTTCGTGCTCTGTATTTCACCAGCCATGTAACTTTGAATAAACCATTTTACATGAAAATTGAGGCATAAATATATTTTGTATGTAGGTAGGATTTGGATGACGAGTGGAGGAGTATGGAGGGACCAGGTCTGAAGGCACGTGTCTATGACCACTCTACCGCTTCTAAAACTGGACATTTCCATTTTAGATTTAATATATCGCTGCCAATTGCTGGATGACATTTTTTTGTTTTGTTTTGTTTTGTTTTAAAGCTTGCCTGTATGTCTCACAGTCTGGGAGGTGAGTTGCATGTTTCCCTGTAGGTCACAGAATCTGGGAAGCAAGGCAGAGAGGATAGGGCACGCACTCATATGAAAATCTACAGCTTACCTGTGGTGGCTGGGAGGTACTGCAGTTCATTTCATCCAGGGGCTTTTCTCCAGAAGGGTCACCGCCTAGGAATCAAAGCCCCATGCTCTTTCATTGTTTCATTGTTTGCAGAAATCTATTAGAATGGAGAACACCTCCTTCCCCCTTCTACTCGTAAATTCAGTTCTTTTCATTTTCCCATTTTTCTTAAATATGAGAATTCTGCCTTTTCTCTAAAGCTGAACTTATTTTCACAGCAACTTAGAGGCATTTCCCTTTATTTGCTTGTCTATTAAAATGATGAGCTTTAAGTTAGAATTCTCTTAAACTTTCAGTCTGATTTAGGATAGTTATTAGCAGTTTTTCATTGAAAGTATCCCAGTTACTTTATGCCTTTCTCCAAGGGACCTATTTCCTCTCCTTTTATCAGATTTGTATCTGTGTTTGAGACATTTGCCCGTTCCTCTACATCTTTTGAAAACGTGAGCTCCTCTCTACGGAATGCAGTAAGGACCCTTTGATGGTGAAGCTTAAAGAACTGAAAACTTTGGTCTGACTTAATAATTGATCTAAATAAAGCGGATAATTATGTGTTTATCATGAGGGCTTTTTAACATCTGCCTTTTCATGCTTAGAATATAGAGTCCATCTTTTCAGGTTGTTTCTTAAACAAAAACATTCCACTTTTCTTTTTTGTTCTTTTTGGCCCGCCCAGGATTGTCATCAACCTGTGCCTCACTATGTCTAAGTTCTGTTAGAGAAACAGAGTAAAGAAGGATATATTTGGAAGGGACAGACAGCTGTACTTTTTAAGATTTATTTGTGGTGACATTTTGGACTTTTCATGTAGCTTCTTTATGACATAGTTTATTGAACCTTTCCAATCTTATGGGTCTAAAGTAGGAATAACATGTTGTGGTTCTCAAAGTGTGATCTTAGACCCAATCACATCAATCACCCAGGGCCTCTGTTTGATAGTGTGATCTCCAAGATTTTGTTCAGTTCTGATACTGTCTGATGCTCTGAAAATTTCCCATGATGTAACAGAGTCTGATGAAGTATAAGAGGGGGGCCCAGGAATCCTTTTATGAAGTGGGTATGAAGAAGACATAGTGATATGGTTTAGCTCTGTGTCCCCACCCAAATTTCGTCTTGAATTGTAATCCCCACGTGTCAAGGGAGGGATCTGGTGGGAGGGGATTGGATCATGGGGGTGGTTCCCTCATGCTGTTCTTGTGATAGTGAGTGTGTTTTCACAAGATCTGATGGTTTAAATGTGTATGGCAGTTCCCCCTTCATGCTCTCTCTCTCCTGCCACTATGTAAGATGTGCTGGCTTCCCCTTCACCTTCTGCCGTGATTGTAAGTTTCCTGAGGCCCTCCAGCTATGCTTCCTGTCAAGGCTGCAGAACTGTGAGTCAATTAAACCTCTTTATAAATTGCCCGTTCTCAGGCAGTTATTTATAACAGTGAGAGAACGGACTCATACAGCATAGGTTCCGATAGAACATTTGAACCTGGAAATTAGGTTGTGAACTTGAGTTGGTAATCAGCAACCTAAACTTTTTTTGCCTCGTTGCCTGAGATCTCATTGTGAGCATTCTTTTCATACATTAAGACTTTTAAAGGCAGTAAAGAACTTCTTGACAGTTCATTTTAATTAACAAGTATGAAATACTTTTTCATGCTGTCTGTGGCCAAATGAAAGTTTCTCAATCCTGGCTGCAGGTTTGAATCACTTAGGTTTTATAGGTGTCCTGGTGCCTGACCCCCTCACTCCCTGTCTTCTATCCCCAAGATTCTGATTGAATTGCTGTGAGATGGAATTCAGACATCAGCATTTTTAAATGTGTTTCCTTGGTGATTCTGGTATTTAACCAATGTTTAAAACTACTGAATGGAATGAATACAGGTTTATGGGATTTATAATCATCATAAAGATATGGACAAATTATTTCCCCAGATTTGTGCACCCACAGAATGAGAGAAGTAGAACATTTTCTTTATGATGTAAGTTATTGAACGTTTCTTATCCTGTGGGTCTGAAGTAGTAATAACATGCAGTGGTTTAAATTAAAGTGTGCTCTCAGACCCAAAGGCATCAATCACCCAGGGACTTATTCGAAATGCAAATTATTGGAGTTCTCCCCAGACCTACTGAATCAGAATCTCTGGATCCAGGACCCAGAAATCTGTATTTTAATAAGGCATTCCGGAGATATTGATGAACTCGAAAGTTTGAGAACCATCAGCACTGAGGGTTGTTGTATGATTCGGTGGCAGTGTATGAAAATCTTAGCACACTGCCTGGCATGCTGTGAGTCTAGTAAGCAGAGTACTCGAGAGATAGTGCTTTTGATTGCTTAGCTGTCTGAATTTGGCTTGGGGCTAGACCTGACAGTTCTTGGCTTAGCTATACTTTCAATTCTAAGACTGTTATTTATAAGGCAAATAGAGGCCAACTGAACCATTTCAAAGGTGTATCAGAACAAGGAAACCTACTCATAGTCATTCTACTGTGCTCAGTCTTCCATTCTTATACTTTTATTTCTGAGGGCCTAAACTATGATGTTTTGGTAATATCCAAAAGCAACTCATTTAATGATGGAGACTGCTGCCCTACCCCACTAAGTGTTGCACAACTAAAATGCAAGGAAAAGCTATTCATCCATAAATAGAAAAGATCTCTTCTCCAACACATCAAAAACATTATTTTTAATAGGAAAAGAACAAATAAAGAAAAGGTTAAAAGGTAGAAGTTTCTGTTTCTCCAATACAATTTTTTGCAGACTGTTTAAAAAGATTTCATATCAGGAACCATAAAGCTCTTGGATATATGTGTATAACTTAGATCGCAGAGATTAGATTCATTCCCTCAATAACTCTAACAGCAGTGTGCTACTCTTGTTGGTGAGAGATGCTAGGTTTTTCTCAGTGTCTCGAAGTCTCATTACTTCTTGCCTGGATTATGTATAGATTTCTAAATTGGTTATTTCTTATTCTTTTCTCCTAATCTGTCCTGCATGGACTTTTAAATTAGTCTTTAGTAAATCATATTGTAACCAAGTGTTTCTTTCTCAGAAATCCCTGGTGGATCTCTGCTGCATGCGTGATAAAATTCAAACCCTTATTTCGATGTGCAACATGTAAAAAGCTTAATTTTATCACATATTTTTTATAACCCGCTGACATTATTTTACATTCCTGTGTCCCTGTTTTTCCTGTGTCATGACTTGCTTTTTATTCTCTATGCTCTGAACTTTCTGATCTCCATGCCTATATTCTCCTGTCTCTCTGCCAAGGATGGACGTGCTTTCTACATCATGTTTCAGGAAAATTATATGATCCACTGAGACTTCCATGATCCTCCACTTTATCTTAATTTTCAGAGGTTATTCGTGCATCTTCATAAATTGCACCTTGCATTATCTTTAGTTGTGTACAATTTTTTTCCTACTCTATTTGATTGAAAATGTATTGAGGGCAAGCACCAAGGCGTATAAAATTCGGTAACCCTATCCCCCACCCAAGCTCACTCTTTGCTTTACTTAATATATTGACCCCTCTAGACTAGCTTTTATACCATTTCTAAATATCAAATCTGATCCTCTTTCTTCTGAAAGTTAAGACTACTAATTAAGGCTACTAATTAAGATGGGGAATAATTCCTATGCAATACAAAAAATTATGTGTCAAAGCCAATTATAAAGAAGTAAAATGCCAGCAAATATATCATAAGAGTACTATAACATTGCATCCTTATTAACTTCATGTGTGTACTTCTTTTCTGTAGGTGATTTTCTTCCACCCCCACCTCCACCTCTAGATGATTCCAGTGCCCTTCCATCTATCTCTGGAAACTTTCCTCCTCCACCGCCTCTTGATGAAGAGGCTTTCAAAGTACAGGTAAGAGCTGAAGTTAAAGTCATGTTTATAGCCATCCTAGGGAGCTCATGAATTTCATGATTGTTTCCGTGCTGGATAAACATTTATCCAGGGCCGATTGAGAGCTTTACAACTTACGAAGATCTAAGGTATTTTAATGCAACAAACCCTACTCAAGCTTCCCAGAGTTCTGCTGGCTTACCCTCCGAAGCCCTCAAAATCCTTTTGCCTACTAATTTTGTTTCAGATCCCAAAACCATTTTTTTTAGGAATACCATTTGAGAAGGCAACATTTCCTTGTTATTTTGGAGGACATACAGCCATGTCTTTTTTATTGCTGTGTTCTCTATCTACAAATATTGCATCCAAATGAGTAAGGCTGACATTTTAAGGCTGTAGTTGGTTAATGTGGATCCTTGTGGTCAGCAACATTTTTTTCTAGCAAAAGCAACGTCAAATATCCTTAGGGTTTTCTCTTCTGGGTAAGTTCAAGGGTGCACATTATACATATCAATTATATAGAACTCTTGGTTTCCAGAGAGTGGTAATTGCAAAGTAACTCGGGGCTGGAATCAGATGTGACATTAGAAGTGGTTCTCAGACTGTGATCATAGGTAACTGCTGAAAGCTGCCACCATTTAAGCTGAAGAAGTGCTTTATGTCAAGAAGAAAATCTAACAAAGTAATAGAATTGTTGTTATAGTTTTAGGTGTGACTATGTTCATATAGATATATTGAAGAAAAACATGAGTCTTCTTTGTCTTTTAGAGAAACATTGGAAATATTTGTAGATAAAATGGAATGGTGTCTGATAATTTTTTTCCAAATAATAAGGTTCGGAAACTACTGAGTCAGAACATGGGTGAAATAGGGTTGGTTATGATTTGATAACTGTTGGGTGCATCGAAGTTTATTCTGTTATTCAATCTACCTTTTAAAAAATACCTAATATCATTTGTGGAACATATAATATACTGAATTATTGCTCATTAATTTTATCATTTGTTTTACAGTATTATTTTTTCGTTTCAATTTGTGTAGGTACAAGTAGGTATATGTATTTATGGCATACATGAGATATTTTGATATAGGCATACAGTCTTTTAAACGTATACAGAAGTATACGTTTAAAATATCCTATAATAAGAAGTGTAAAAGAGAAAAAGTCTGAGGTAACAACTGCTTAAATGGTTTGTTCTATTATTTGCCTTTCTTTCTCCTAAATTTGAGGTTGAAGGAGACAAAGAAAGAAATGATTCATTCACTCAACAAATATTCTGTGTTCCTATGTGGGCATTATTCAAGCACTAGGAATGTTCTAGAAAAAAAGACAGACGCCATTCTGTCCTCAGGGACCGTAAAAGTTCGTGGAACTAGTGGAAATAAACAAGATGTATACTTTACAAAGTACATTCGAGTGGATAAGTGGGGAAACAGGGAGGGGCTCAGGGCTTACCTAGGCCCCACTGAGAAGGAGACACTTAAACGAGGACTTGAAGAAGGAGAGGAGGGAATGAGCTATAGAGATTTCTTGGTGAGCATATTTTCATATAGTAGATATTAAGAAGCAGAAAAAGCTTTTAATATTATCTGTCATTTGAAATCAGTAAGTTGTAGTTGTAACCAGTAAGTTCTGGTTCAGTTTGGAGTCTAGATCTTTTAAGGCTATTAAAAAATATGTGTATTGCTAATATAGGCCGTGAATTTCTTGCATTTTGTTTTGGTGTATACTAATAAAATCAACTATCAGATGCCAGTGATGAACAAGAGTCCTATAAAGTTTGTATTTATTTTATGCAACAGATAGAACTCTTGGCAAATTAAACCAATATGAGTGATTTTTCTTAGTTTTAGTCATTTTTTAATAAAATGAAGAAATCCTTAGCGTTGCCTTTAATATACCTTTGGTCGTATTTTGCTGAGGTTGGTTTTTTGTGTAGTGTTTACTATGTACAGTTTTTAAAGTCACTGACTCTGTTTCCTCTCGTAGTTTTTCATGGAAACTATTTTGTTGCATTTTAAATCTTTAGTTCTCACAATGTTGTTTGAAGTAGTGACAGAAGACTCGTGATTGAAAACTAGTTACATAGCTTATTCTAGTTGTGTGATCTTGAGCAAGGCAGGCTGAGTCCCAGTTTTGTCTTCATTAAAAACAAAACAAATATATATACCTCTTACAATTAAATGAAATACAGATGGATTTGAAAGTATTAAACCAAAAGGGCTATGCAAATACTTTGATGTCATGTTGATAATCACTATGAATACATAAGAAGAATAGTAAGGATTTTCCAGTGGGTTCCATTAAAAAATTCAAACATGGCACTTTCAAAAGTTTATGAAAAGTTTTTTTTCGGGTGGACCTTGTTCTGTTAGGTGTACTCAAGCCATGGCTTTGTTTTTGAAGAGAAAGGAAATAAACAAAACGCCTGTTGCCATGTTGGCTTATGTTCTCTGTAAAACAGAAGGGAGGAAGACAAAAAATAAAATACAGTTTGCCAAATGGAAAAGGACAAATCTGGTAGGGAGAGGCCTGTTATTTTTGAGACGCTTCATATGGAAGATTGTTGGTAAGTTCAAAAGAAAATGAACATGCCCTCCTCTTGTGTAGAAGTGACATAGATGTGACAGCGGCTTGGCCCTGCTCTGGCCTAGGTTTGTACCACCTATAGATATGAGCCATGGTATAGCCTAAAGTAGCATTATCACTGGAGAAAATTTTGCACATTTTCCTCTCAGCTATGGTACAACCTCATGTTGCCAAGTCCAAATTATAGCTGGTAAATGTGTGTTTTTATGTAGAAGACTGTTTATGTTTCCAGCCAGATTTTCAGGTCAGAGCCAAAAGAATGTCTACTAACAGTGATTATAAGAGTTGTAAGATTTTTAGAGCAGAAAGGGACCTTAGAGATCATTTAGTCCAACTCTGGCGCCAGGCATCTAGTTACAGTCCTTTCAAGTACTTGCCAAATTAATTTCCTTTTTTTTTTTTTTTTTTGGAAATGGGGAAACTGAGACCCAAGAAGGTGTGGATCCTCTTGTTTCTGACAGAGCTCTTAGTGAATCTGAAAAATCTTGACTCCTGACCTTGACCTTCTTCCTGCTGTCCCAGATGGCCCATGAACTTGGTATTGCTTTAGTCCTCTATCAGACTGTAAGGCTCTGAGATTCATTGCAGAGGGTTACGTGTTTTTATTTGGAAGGACTAGGTGATGCCAGAGTTTTGCTTGGCTATCTGAATTTTTGATATATGCTCGAAGCTTTTATTTCTTAAAAAAAGGCAAATCAATATTTAGACTTAAGGATTCTTGATTTAACAATTCATTTTCATGTGGAAAGATGAAACTTGGAAAACAGGTGAGGGATTTGGTTTGCTTTTCTGTCAGGATCAGCGTGACCTCCACACCTGTGATGTTTGTAGTGACACTTTAGCAATCACTTCATTAATTCATCTGTTCTTCATTCATTCAGTGTAAATTGAATACTTCTTGTAAGTAGACATATATGCTAGTGATTATAGCGTTAGAACTTGGCATCGTAGGTTTTATGCTCTGAGTCTCAGCCTTGGGACGGTCAGTTAGTTAGATTCATTTATTTATTTATTTATTTAGAGACAGAGTCTCGCTCTGTCACCCAGGCTGCTGTGCGGTGGCCTGATCTCGGCTCACTGCAACCTCCACCACCCAGGTTCAAGTGATTCTCCTGCCTCGGCCTCCCGAGTAGCTGGGACTACAGGCACCTGCCACCATGCCTGGCTAATTTTTTTGTATTTTGAGTAGAGATGGGGTTTCACCATATTGGCCAGGTTGGTCTCGAACTCCTGACCTTGTGATCCACCTGCCTCGGCCTCCCAAAGTGCTGGGATTACAGGCATGAGCCACCACGACCGGCCAGTTGGTTTTATTCTCTTCTGACCCCATAGTTGGTAATTTCTTCCTCTTTTCAATCAACCCATAGGCAGGTATTATATAACATTCCTTAGGGTGATTACAAAGAAGGTACATGTCTCAGAATTTCAGGCTTGCAAGGGAATTAGAATGGATACATTCAAGTCCCTTTCTGTTGTTTGAATCTTGTAATTTTTTCCTAGATAACAGAATGTTTATGGGTAACTATGATAGGTGAGGCAGTGCTGCAGGATAAGGAGATAGATCAGATACAGTACTCAGAATCACATGCAGAAGATGCATATACAGTCATTTAAGTCGTTTTATGGTAAATTATGCTTTAGTCATCATATGTTGATCAGAAGCATAATCTAAGTCCTAAGTTAGTGGTGGAGAGTGAGGGAAGTAAATTAACTGTGATTGGAGATAGGCAAGAAGGATTCATAGAAACAATTTAAATTGAACTGAACTTTGATGGCTGGGTGGGACCTTAATTTTCAGATAGGGGAGTGGATTGTTCAGCAATAAAATAAAAGAATTAAAACACAGAGGAAGGAGAGCTCAAAGTAAGCGTGACAGGCCTTGTGTTTCTAGCTGTGGAACCTACTGTTTGTTCTGAAACCATTGACAATTTACTGTAGGGGCTTGTTATTATTTTAAATATAAGGGTGATATCCCCAGACCTGTTGTTGGATGCCAAGTTATACTGTTAATATAAATTAAGGCAAAACATGTTGCACTTTCAGGAAACCCAATGCAAACATTTCTGAATTGTCTGGTAGACTTCCTTCAGATCCGTGGGGACTTACCTGCTGACATCTGATGGCTTTGAATTCAGGGGTTCAATATTTAACTTCCTCTTTTTATGATATCTTTGTTCGTCTTTTCTTGGTGACTTCCAGTTGACAACTTCTAATTCTGCTTCTCTGTTTGTTTCCCAGTCCTTTGGCTTGCTTTTATTTGCCTACTATTCAGTATTTGCATACCTCTAGTTTTCATCTCTCCTTCTCTGTTCGGTCCTGCAAAATGGCCAGAATTGCTAACGTAACTCCAGTCCCTCCACATTAGAAAACAGAGGGGTTTTGTCCATTGGTGATTACTTCAAATGTTAAAAATTTCTCTTTGTTATTGAGT